GGTTCGCACTCCCTTGGTGCCCTATTTGTCTTTTACTTATTAAAAAATAAAAATTAGCATGTACCTTGGAGCATCTGAAGCTGACTCTTGGGGTTGCATAACTAGAGTTCAGAAGGATTTATACTGAAAGTATAAAGGTTTTTTTATTCTAAAAAAAATAAAGGTTTTTTTACAAGCTTAGACCGCAATTAGAGTGTCATGGAGGTGATATCAACTGAAAGTATATAAATTTATACTGATTTTATATTAATTTTTTTGGGTTCCATGTCTTAGGAGTGGCTGTGATAGTTTCTTGATGAGAAGTTACATTCTCATTCTATTGCATAAATTTCATTTGAGCTTCTATATCTCGAAAGTTTCCTGATGAGAAGTTACATTCTCATTCTATACCATAAATTTTATTTGAGCTTCTTTATCTTGAAGACAAATGAAGATATATCTAAGTTGGGCAAATGCTCTGCATATGGTCATGCGGTTGCCTGGCCAATACATTGACAAAAACTTATTTATGGGAGGTTGTAAGAAAATGAGGCTGCTTGTTTACACCTTAGGCAACATTTACTTTTCATGTTATGCTTGCTTTATGTGCTGGTTCATCATTCACATTTGTTCACTGATTTATTACATCCCATTGATTTATTACCTTCCTCCAGCAATATTCAAAGCAGCTTGAAGACACCATGGAGAAATTTGCTCAAGGTGATATCAAAATATTAATATGCACAAACATTGTGGAGAGTGGCCTAGACATTCAAAATGCAAATACCATTATCATTCAAGATGTTCAACAATTTGGACTTGCACAACTCTATCAGGTTCAGTCTCTGTCCCTCTCGTTTGATTTTGCTTTAAATTTCCTAAAGATCTCAATACCATGAAGACGATATTTGCTAATTGTTCCCATGCAAATGTCAGAGTCAAAGAAGTGTACAAATTGAGCCTTACTGGTTGTACCAATTATGCTATATATCTCATTGAAGTACTCAGGTAGTGGAGTACGTTGATAATTCAATTGTCATATTGTCAGTGCATATAAAATTCCCTCGGTATCATAATGCAGGACATTTCTGTTTCATGACATGATCTTGCATTCCTTTTTTTTTTGCTCTTCTTGAAAACTTTCACATACTTTGTGTGCCTATGTGGATCATAAGAATGCAGTTTGTTCTCTAAGCATTGACCAAGTTCCTCTGGATATTTGCAGTCATTGATTCCTCCTAAAATGGGAACTATGCCTTTTTTTCCTGACATTGCTATGGTTAATCTCTTTCATTAGTTGCGTGGAAGGGTGGGGCGCTGTGATAAAGAGGCTCATGCACACTTGTTCTACCCTGATAAGTCGCTGCTATCTGATCAAGCTCTGGTAGGTTTTTGACTTTTGTTCCTTATTTCTCACGCAAAAGAGATACCTGCACATGCACTTTGACCCATCTTGGTGTCATAAGACATGTTTCCTATGTTGTATGCGCATTTTTTTCTTTTGCCGGCACAAAATAATGCTGTGGATGCCGACATTATCGATATTGGGCTACAGGAGAGGCTTGCTGCTCTTGAGGAATGCCGTGAACTTGGCCAAGGTTTCCAGCTTGCAGAGAGAGATATGGGTATAAGAGGCTTTGGTACTATCTTCGGCGAGCAACAGACGGGCGATGTGGGGAATGTTGGCATTGATCTCTTCTTTGAAATGCTATTTGAGAGCTTGTCAAAGGTATCTTCTGCTTTATGATTAGCTCATGCAACTGTGGCACCCATTAACATTATCATCACCACTTTTTATGATACTTCACATTTACCTTATTGTTGCCTTGCCTTGGCAGTCTTTGTTATTCCATGTTATTGATCGAACCCCATTGGGATGACGTGAGATCAATTGTTTTGAGCACCTTTGAATGAAGTGCTGGCAGCTTGTGTGTCATGTGTCTTATTAGAGATGTGATCCTAAGTTGTAGCTTCTGAGACAGTCAAATTTTATTTCATATATCATCTACTTTTTTACCATCTCTCTTTACCATAAAGGTATGTAATTAGATTTCTATATTGAGTTGCTGAATTTGTGTAGAGCATTACAAGTCTTTGCTTCGTTGCTAGGTAGAGCTGCATCGAATACTTCTAGTTAGTTTCTGAACGTTGCAACTCTTTACTTTGTTTCTAGGTAGAGCAGCATCGCATACTCCCAGTTTATTACCAAGATGTCCAGGTATTTCGCTATTTTCGTCGACTTATTTTGTCATAAGTGAGCTGTTGTATTGTTGTGAACTCCTGAAGGATAATGAATTCCCACTCTAGCTCATATTTATGCACAGAGAATGCAATGCGTCATTTTGTCAGTATACCATAAAATTTCTTTTGGTCGGCATTGGATGTCTCTAAGAATCTGACTTCTCTTCCGTAGGTCATTAGAGTACAACAGAAATAAAGGAAAGAATAGTTGTCATAAAACAGTATGTAAAATATCAGTGACCATGCTAACAGAAGCTGGTTTTGTGTACATCCTAAAACACAAAGTCAGACCACTGCATAAAATTGGGAATGACATGGGCTTTGATGTGACTCGTTATCTAATTTGACCCTTCTGAATTCTCTTTAGTTTGGGGAGTGGCAGAGGAGTCTACATAGTTTGTTCTTTTCCTTTCACGAGTCTACATATTTTGGAATGTGTCAGGGGAGAATGGTTTTACAAATAATGACCCCTCACTCTAGTTTTCCTCTTCTGTATAAGCACATTATTATCTCCCTTGTCCCCAGCAGATTCTGCCCATTTTTTGGTTCCATGTAACAATACATTTTACAGGGTTGATGGAAAACAGTATTGGCATTCTGCCCATTTTCTACCAAAAAAAGGTCTGATGTGAATATTGCAGTCTTCAGTAATCACATTAATTCTAATAGATTTAACTTATTATTGATTGAAAATGAACTTTCATAGTCTGGCATGTTGAATAGCCTCAACTTTTGTAGTCTGACTTCTGTTGTTGGCCTTTACCAGATTGATATAAATATAAATCCCCATCTTCCTTCGGAGTACATAAATCATCTTGAGAACCCCATGGAAATTATAGATGAAGCTGAGAAAGCTGCTGAGAAAGACACTTGGAGCTTGATGCAGTTTGCAGAAAATTTGCGTCGGCAATATGGAAAAGAGCCTCGTTCCATGGAAATTTTGTTGAAGAAACTTTATGTGAGAAGAATGGCAGCAGACCTTGGGATTTCAAGGATCTATGCTTCAGGAAAGATGGTTGGAATGAAAACAAACATGACTAAACAGGTTTTCAAACTAATGACAGATTCAATGGTCTCTGATATGCACAAAAATTCATTGGTATATGAGGGAGACCACATTAAGGTATGACATTCAATTTTTTTGTTGTGTTTGGCTCTGATATTCACCAGTCAACTTGCCTGTTTCACTTGCCATTTTTTATGAGAGAATCTCGCATATTATAGATTCTTTTGCTTGACTTGATGTACAACCACATTGAATAGAATTGTTAGTTGGGGGATACATAATGAGCTCTCTACTATTCCTGTACGCTGTTTTGGCTGGTTTTGGTCTTGAAATCTTTTTATCTTGATAAAATACCAGATGGCAATAAACATTGGGTTTTTGGCTCTTCTCAATCTTCGGTGTCACGGTTATCAACTTCATGGGATATTCAAACATTAAGCCTACATATTTATTAATGATCTCTGGACATGTGAGGACATACATTACTCATGTTTCTTCAAAGTTCAAGTTGCCAATGAAAGTTATTAGATCCATTGGGTTTACGATTTTACTGCATGTTTCATTGCCTCCTGTCTCTTTTCTAATGAATTATATCAGCTCGATGTCCATCAATCCCTACCTGTATAACTATTCGTTGTTGTAACTAGAGAGTGTTTGTTGAACTTCTAGGCCGGTCAGAAGGTGGAATTTTCTTTTCAGGTTGATCAAGTTCTTTGGATTTCCTTTTGCTGCTGAGTATCAATCAATTTATCCTTCTTCTGTGTAATGTAATGCAGGCCGAGCTGCTTTTGGAGCTTCCAAGAGAGCAACTCCTGAATTGGATTTTTCAATGCTTGGCTGAATTATATGCTTCATTACCGGCTCTGATAAAATACTAGATATACATACACCATATGTCAAAGGTTCTCTCTCCAGCTTGACTGCCAAACTCTATAATGCAAATTAAGATGGCTTATTTGCGTCAGCGGCTTCACCAAAATTAAGGCCAGTTGGCTCTACGTGGTTGTGGTGTGTGCCTGGGGTGATCTCACACAAAGAAGGCTAGATGACTTTCCATGAACTAACATGAAGTTGGTTTAAAAGAGTGCAAAGAGGGAGCCGCTACTTCATTTAAGGGTAAGAGAAGTATAGTTATTGGTTATTGCATGGGAAATATCTCTTCTCAACACCGTCTGTCTGCAGGTTTGAGGTAGCAGCATGGGAGGTCAGCTCTATGGCGAGCCTGGTTATATACATTACTGCAATTTACCTTCAACAAACAGACTCACCGCCTAATATAGATCGATGCAGCACTGTTGCTGAATTATGGGTGAAGGGGCATAGTATAAAGGTACTTTCTGATTTCTGTACATGTATTATTGAACACTCTGGTGCTTAGTTACGGTGGCCATGGGTGGGTTGTTATAGTTTTTGGTGACTAGGTTAGCCTCATCAATTTTTTTTTTCTGAAGTCAAGTGTTGAGTAAGCTTCTTGTTTTGAGAATCGGGCAGTTAAGGATCGGTGAATCGTAGAAAGTTGAAGAAACTGATGCTACATATTGTCAATCAGAATCACATTTTCTGGCATTCACTTCTCGTAATTGCTGTTGCGTTTGCCTGATCAAACCAGAGTGAATTTGCAATGTGTCTTAAGGGTTCCCTCGAGCATTCCAGTATGATTTTGCAATGTGTCTTAAGCGTTCCCTTGAGCATTCGGTGGTTTTCATGAGATTACAGGGTGGAAGTAATTGTGGAAAGAAAGAGTTAAGAAAGCTCGATTCATCGACGACGACGACATTCTTCGGTCACAAGCGTTACTCAGTGGTATTCCTCATGAATTAGAACGAAGAACTCCCTCTCTCTTTTCCATTCTGTTCCTCTTTTTGCTCATATAATCATATTTATCCCTTTGTCCGATTTGTTCTCTTTCCTTCCGAGGAATATCGAGGAAAAGTGATGGCAGTAGTAGCTAGTAACCAGTACTATACACAAGGCTCTATATCCTGTAATGGGCCCTAGAAGAGCCTTTGTCCGATATCGGGCTGGCCCTCCAAGGCGCAAAGCCCCCCCTCCCCAAACAAGGTCAACGGAGCGCGTGCGGTCTCCGACTCCGACCACGCTGGGGATGCAGAGAAGCAAATCTCAAATCTCCTCGTATCTCCCTCTGTTGGGCACTGTCGCAGTGTCGTGTTCGTAGACATCACCCATCATCATCGCCACCAATGTCAACATTGCCTCTCCAACTCACCAACTCCGACTCCGACTCCACTGTCATATCATCCAATCTAAACTAAACCCCCCATCATCCATCGCCAAGAACCTCCAGATCAAGACACTTTTCCCTCTCTCCCCCCTCCGGCCGATCCATCCACACCCCAATTCGAATGGCGGCCTTCCTATACCACCTGTTCTCCTCCTCCTCCCTCCTCTCCCTCGGCCTCTACCACTCGGTCTCCGCCACCCGCGCCCACCTGAAATCCCCCTCCACCTACGCCGCCAAGCCCTACCACCCCCTCCCGGCCTCCGCCCACCCCCGCCTCCGCCCCCTCCAGCTCTACCTCGCCCTCCTCTGCCTCCTCGTCGCCTTCTGCCACCAGGCCATCTCCTCCTCCGATTCCGACCCCCTCCTCAAGGGCTCCACCCCCGTCCACCGCTTCTCCTCCCTCCAGTCCGCCTCCGTCCTCCTCCTCTTCCTCCTCCTCTCCCTCTCCCTCCTCCTCTCCGACCTCCTCCCCTCCCTCCTCCCCCTCCCCCACGACCTCTTCTTCGCCCTCGCCTCCGCCGCCTTCTTCCTCCAGTCCTCCTCCTCCTCCTCCGCCGCCTCCTTCCAGATCTCCGACCTCCAGGCCAAGTGCGACTCCGTCTCCGCCCTAGTCTCCGCCCTTTCCTCCCTCCTCTGCCTCGCCCTCGCCTGCTCCCCTCGCCTCTTTGTGGCCGACGTCGCCCTCGGGGCTTCCATCTGCCTCCAGGGCCTCTGGTCACTGCAGACCGGGCTCTCGCTCTATGTCGAGGCTTTTATCCCCGAAGGATGTCATAAGCTGCTCGATGTGGTCAATGGGGTGGAGGGATCTACCAAGTGCGATTTGGAGGAATCGAGGTTGAGGGCCGTGGCCATTCTTGATCTGGTGTTTGTGGTTCATGTCATGTTCGTGGTGGTCATTGTGATAGTTGTTTACGCTGCTGTGGCTAAGAGCGTAGGTGTGAGGAGGATGGGGTCTTATGAAGCATTGCCTACTACTGGGGATAGAGACGCGAATAATCATATTCAGATGAAGGCATTGACCGGCACGCAGGCTTGACTTGATCTCCTTTTCTCTCTTTTTTTTTTTAGCATTGTTTGTATGAGTGACGAGCTGAAATGAAATCCGACCCCTTTTCTTTCAATTCAGATTTTGAAAACACTGTAAACCTCTTAGAGTTAGAGGAGGGTTTCTCTTGTACACAGACTTGGCTTTTACCTCGAGCCATCGCTATGGTACTGGCAGTTGATTTTTGGTCTCTGTTACTGTCTGTCATCACTATGGTGTTTTGCGACTGATCCACTGGCAATCATGGTGAAAATTATCTCCTCGTCTACGAATTGTCGTAAATTGACTGTAGTTCTGGAACTTGAATTATCCACTGACTAACTGCTTCACTCTCAACAAGTTGTGCATCGCCCCTTCAAAACCTCCCTCCCTTCTTATGCCAAACCTGGAAATGAAGAGTTTCTCTTTATTAGATAAGGCCCAATAAAAGCTCGCATAATAGGCTGATTATATTGTTGCCAGACCGCAATGGATTTGAACCCATGATTGTCTAAAATTCGTGATAGCGGATACTGGTTTCTATGTTCTTCTCCAAGAAGCTCCTAGTCTCAGAAATTACGTTTGGTATTTCTGTATGGCTGAGTGAACTGAATAAGCGAAGGGGTGTGTGTATATCTTAGTGTAAGTCTTTTACTGATTAAAATTACTTTGTGGATATAGGAGCTGCTTTTCTTAAGATGATCTTTTGAGAGCAATTCTTGACTTCAAAATTAAGAGTCATATTCCATTACTGTCGTGTAATATTGAGAATGAAGAAATTGCGACATCTTTGTTTCACTTAATTGCTGCCTTTGAATCTTTGGTCCTTCTTGTCTGGTCTGCAAATGAACCATCGTTCCAGTATTCTACACATATTGCCAACAAGTTGGCTTGTCTTGTTTTTGGCTTGTATAGTGGTGCATGAATCTGGCTTTTCCGTCTCTCGCAGCATAAAAGGTTTAAAGCTTCAAGTGCTCTGATCTTGCATTGTTAACATCTTTAGTAGGAGCTGTTGATTCTGTCTTGTAACTTCTTTGAATTCTAACGATGAGCATCTGATATAGTTGTCCTTGATGGCTCCTTGAAATGAGGTTTTTTTAATTGACTGGGATTTGTTTGGCATTCTTCATTTGCCTGCTATATTTAACTGGAGTATGCATCACTCCAAGTTTACTAAGAGGAAAACATACGCCATATGTTATGGGCAAGACCATCTAGATCCTTGATTGAGTTGCTTCAGGGTTGTTTGGCTGTTTGTTGACGTTCCTATATTGGCTGTTCTTCGTTGCCGCATTCAGTGAAAATAAAGGTGGATTATTCTTTTGAGCATTTGCTTTCTGCACTTGAGCCCATTTGAACATGCTTTAGGTTTAAATCTTAGTTCAGCTTCTGTAAAACTACCCACTCATTAGCGCTTGATGCTGTTAAATTGATATTTATGTGCATTACATGATACTCAGGAGATGACTGTTAGCATGTGTTCTTATACGACTTGTTGCTAGTTTGTCAGCAAAATGCTCCTCGGCTTTTCAACTTAGAAAAATCTGCACAAGGACAAGATCTTTTACCAGATTGTATTCTAAATCAACCATTCAGTGGGAGTTGTCATTACATAGTACCTTCTCATGAAACAGTTGGATGTCATGCTTAAACCTGGATGAGAGTTAATGCCCTCATTTGTCATCTGCGGCCGTTCTTTCTCAACCAGAGGCTAGTCCAACTACCATCTCTGTTTCCACCCCAATTGACATTATGCGGCAATTCTCTGAAGGTATAATGCTTCTATCATTGGTCGGACACCTAGATCAGGGCTGTCATGCTCTCTAGAGCAAACCCTCTCTCTTATCGGTTGCTTCGCAGTCTGGATCTGTCAATACAGGATCATGAATTATAAGGCAATGAACAAAGACAACCAACAGCCTAGATGATTCTGACCTTCAATTACTCTTGCTGGCTAGGAACCTTCATTGTATATGGTAATTTAAATACTAGAATCTGCTTCCTAACAAAATTGCATGATGACATGTGATATGAATATTGAGGAGATTGTCGAACATCCTGTGGAGTGGTTTTGCATGGATGGACCATAGAATGATCTCCCTGACAGGTTCACCACAGCATTGCTTCATTAGGGTTGTAGCCAACTGAGTCTAATTCTACAGCTAAGCATTCTACTTGGGGAGTGCAAGAAGTGACTGCTGACCAGTTTCTGCTATATGAGGTCTGGCAGATATGAGAGGATAAGAGATGATGCGATGTGGATAAATGAGAGATGAGCAGAGTAATTATAGGCTCTTTGTTGTCACAATGACCACATACTGAGTCATTTCCACCATTCAATGTGTCGGATTTTTGTTTCTCGTCATCATTTGAGATGAGGAAATTTCGTGTTAAGAACCAAGAAACTACGACGTGCTCCCTCCTCGGATTCGGATGCAAGACGAGCAGCTTCGTTTTCATCGATCGAGTCATCCGAAGCGCGTTTTTGCTGCATACCAAGTGAGTGTAACGGGAGAACCGGTAGCTGCAGTGCAATTTCACGCAACGCATGTTGCTTGATGTTGTTGGAAACGAGCAGACAAACAAGGGGATATGAGTTTGTTTGTTTATGTCAATGCTTAACGCGGAAGTTTCTCCTGCGGGGGTATATGAAGGTTCACCCTGCCTAAGTGAACAAGAAAAGGGATTTGGCTTTACGTCCCATGGTGTACCTATATAATGATGCCCCCTAATCTTTTGCCTTAAACCATCATCTCTCTCTCTCTCTCTCTCTCTCTCTCTCTCTCCCTCTCTCTCCCCCAGCGTATGTGTGCGTGCCCTGAGCAAGAAGGCGATGATCCACTTGCCGCATCCAAAGTTTTAGAGACATCAACTATATTTGAACTCTCTCCCTCTAGGGCTTCCTGGCCTCAAATTTCATTAGTGTCTTTTCTTGGGCATACGATACACTCCACCTCTGATTAAGACATTAGGGCGACTCCCTCCCCTCCACACACCGCGCGCGCCATCTCCCCCCCCCCCTCTCCTCTCTCTGCACTGTAGATCGGGTTTGCGATGATTGCTTATTGAAGTTACAGGGGGAAAAAGGAGGAGAAAGCCTAAGAGGGGAGGGTTCAAGTAAAGTTTGTTTCTCTTCTGATGGACCTCAATCTGGCCCGCAAGCAGAATGGCCGAGCTTCCTGCAATTTGCAACCCGTTTTTTTGTTGCAGCTTTTGCACGTGACAAGTTTCTTTTGCAACATATTTACCAGAAGAAAAAAAAAAATCCACCGCGTGGGGATTCATGCATAATCCTTCTTCGGAGAACCAGAATAAACTGCAGGCATTACGTGATAATATGCATTAAAATGAGTCGACCGCCCCAATGAGGGAATAGATTAGATGATATCCTCCCTGTACTTGAATACCAAAGGAGGTGTATCCTTGTTAGATACAACAATTATGCAATTAAATTACCTCTTCAGCATCCATGCGAATTGGTTAAATCTTTTCTAATTCCGAAATCAGAACCACAATGCGTGTCAAGGCTTAGCTAGTCGATTAGCTTGAAATAGTCTTTGCTTTTCCCCTTCCTCGAGCGTTTAGCAAGCTCGCTGCTTTTTTTTTTCTTCGCCAGAACAAGCTGACGGCATGAAAGAGTGCCTTCTAAGTTGATTTCAGGTGTGATTCTGCATGAGGAAATTTGCAGCCAGCTGGTAAAAGAAGGATCTTCACTCGGAGCAAATTGAACAAGCTGACGGCATTAAAGACTGCCATATGTTTTGGAAAAGACTATCTGGATGCTTGACTGAATCGCTTCAAGGTTGTTTGGCTGTTTGTTGACGCTCCTATATTGGCTGTTCTTAGTTGCTGCATTCAGTGAAAATAAAGGTGGATTATTCCTCGAGCATTTTACTTTCTGCACCTGAGCCCATTTGAACATGCTTTAGGTTTAGATCTTAGTTCAGCTTCTGTAAAATTACCCACTCATTGACACCTGATGGTTTCATATTGAGATTGACACGCATTACACGATACTCACGAGATGACTGCTTGCATGTGTTCTTATGTGACTTCTTGCTAGTTTGTAGCAAAATGCTCCTCAGATTTTCCACTTGGAAAAATCTGCACAAAGACAAGATCTTTTACTAGATGGTATTCTAAATCAAAACATCCACTGGGATTATTTGAGAGTACCTTCCTATGAAACGGCTGGATGTCATGCTTAAACCTGAATAAGAGTTCATGTCCTCATTTTTGAGTCTGCGGCCGTTCTGTCTCAACCAGAGGCTAGCCCAACTATCATCTCTGTTTCCATCCTGATTGACATTATGAGGCAATTCTCAGAAGGGGGTACTGCTTCTATTATTTGTCGCCTATATTGGGGCTGTCTTGCTCTCCGGAGCAAACCCTCTCTCTTGCCGGTGGCTTTGCAGTCTGGTTCTGTCGATTTAGGATCATGAATTATATTAGGCAATGACCAAAGACAACCAACAGCCTAGATGATTCTGACCTTTAGTTTCTCTTGCTGGCCAGGAACCTTCATTGTATACGGTAATTTAAATTCTAGGATCTGCTTCCTAACAAAATTGCATGATCGTGTGTGATATGAATATTGAGGAAATTGTCGAACATCCTGCGGCGTGGGTTTGCAAGTATGGACCATAGAATGATCTCTTTGACAGGTTCACCATAGCATTGCTTCATTACGGTTGCAGCCGACTGAGTCTAATTCTACAACTGAGCATCCTACTTGGGGATTGCAAGAAGCGACTGTTGACCAGTTTCTGCTACTTCAGGTCTGGCAGGTACGAGTGGTGAAGAGATGATGCGCTGTAGAGATGAGCCAGAGTAATCTTCGGCTCTTAGTTGTTGCGGTGACAACATCCTGAGTCATTTCCACCACTCAATCTGTTGGATTTTTGTTTCTTCAGCAATAGGGATGAGGAAATTTCACGGTAAAAACCGAGAAACCACGATGCGCTCCCTCCTTGAATTTGGATGCAAGCCAACCAGCTTCGTTTTCATCGATCAAGTCATTCGAAGCATGCTTTTCCCGCATTGCGAGTGAGCGTACCAGGAGAACCAGTAGTTATGATGCAATTTTACCCAATGCTAATTGCTCAATGTTGCTAAAAACGAAACGAGCAGATGTTATTACAAACGAGCAGACAAACAAGGGGATATGAGTTTGTTTCTTATGTCCGAGGCGCACAACCCAGAAGTTTTTCCTGTGGCGGTATGTGAAGCTTCACCCTGCCTAAATGGGACAAGAAAGAGTTGACTTTACATCTTGTGCTGTACCTATATAATCATGCCTTTAAACCATCATCATCTCTCTGTCTCTCTCTCTCCCTCCCTTCCTCTCTCTTCACGCACGCCCTATAAGCAAGAAGGCGCTGATCGACTGAAGCATCAAGAGTTTTAGAGATATCAACTATATTTGAATTCTCTCCCTCGTAGGCTTCCTGTCCTCACATTTCATCTGATTTCTCTCGAGCATATGATACAATCCACCGCGTAGATAGTGTCTGCGATTATTGCTTATTGAAGTTACAGACCAAAAGGAGAAACCTGCAGGGAGGGAATTCATATAAAGTTTGTTTCTCTTCAATATACCTCAATCTGACACGCAAGCAGAGCGGCCGAGCTTCCTGCAATTTGCTCCCAATCTTTTGTTACAGCTTTTTGCCTGTTAGAAGTTTTTCTATTACCAAAAGATAAAATTCCACAAAATGGGGATTCATGCATATAACCCTTCTTTGGAGAACCAGAATAAGCTGCACGCATTAGGTGATATGCATTGAATAGTGTTTCGACCAACCCAATGAGGAAATAAATTAGATGATGTCCTCCCTTTACCTGAATACAAAAATAGGTATATTCTCATTAAGTACAACAATACATGCAGTCAAATTACACCTTAAGTATCCATGTGAATTGGTTAAGTCTTTTCTAATTCCGAAATCAGAACCACAATATCGGCTATTATTTTGCATAACATGTATACTCAATGTGCATGTGTTGGTGTGGAATTTGCTATATTCAAAGACCAAAACACACTTGATAGAGAAAACAAAATTGTGTATCAGTAAGAGTAAGGGAAAACGAAATTATGAGGAATTAAACAATAAGGGTCCACGAGAAGACGATTCCCAGTCTCCCAGATCAGGTAATATAAAAAGCCTTGAGCAAGCTGACTGCTTTATTTTTATTATTTTGGCCATTTCTAACATGATTTCAGGTGCGTCTCTGCATGACGAAATTGCAGCCAGCTGGTAATAGAACGATCTTCACTCGCAGCAAATTGCACATCCAATTCCATATCCAAGACCATATTCCAATGTGACGTTGCAGAAGTAGTGTGTGACCAGAATCTGAGGATTCTATTTACAGGCCAAGGGACAAACTGGTCATTCCCATCCACAAGAATAGCAATCCCATGAGCAAAATCACCTAGAAGACGAGGTTGCAAACACCAGGAATTGCTCCATGACTCCACGTTTACTTGTTACTCAAGGCTTCGGTACTTGGAAGCAGTTGCATCTCATTCTTTAGGCAGTACTTAATTACAGTAGTGATCTTGGCGTTACCAAAAAGCCATAAAACAGGAAAAAAAAAACGACAACCACACTTACAGAAATGCGTATTATGTGAATGATAATGTTTTTCTCAAGGAAAAATACAACAAGATCATGAATCAACAAACAGTCGTCTGTATCTTTCAGCTTTATCAGTGTACCATCTTTCTCCTCTTGCTACACTTTTGCAAAATAGAATTTCAAATGAGCATGAGGACTTCCAGTCCTTTGCACCAACTTGAGTTAATATGTTAAGCCCTTCCACACAGAGTTGGTGATATCTGCATTTTGTACAACTAAAAATCAGGAATACTTGAAGAAACATTAGTAAGAAAGTGGGGAAAAAACATTAAACCAAACAGATTTCATTGGAAAAGTATCCAAGACCTGATGAAGGTGCGGTCAAATGAATGGTACCCCTGACTGAAGATTTCTGCAGTGACGCACAGAAATTATGGATTCTGGCTCACAGATTTGTCTTTCAGCCATTCCCGAAAGTATGATTGCATCTTGTCTCTAGTAGAAGCATTCCGAACGTTCACAGTCGGAATGATCTTGTTTGGCCTCAAAAACTGAGAAATGGCAGATCTTTAGTTATATGCCAAACCCAAACGTCAAACTTAAAAAGAAAACATTCATGAAAAAGTAACAAGTCTGGAAGCATACCTGCACAAACTCCCGCAATTCTGTAAAACTGGAGTGCTCACTATAAGGAACTCCTGCAAAGTGCCAAGTAGTGGTCAAATGCTGTCTACTTTTGTCATGACAATACACCAGACCTAATAAATTGTCAAAAGGAGATATCAAATCCTTTACAACCAATTTGCTTACCCAACCCCCCCCAAAAGAGAACATACAATTACGAAAACCAAGAGGCCAAATTACACTCATTGCGCTCTATAAGTTGTTGCTAAAAAAATTAACATGTGATGCTTTGGAACTACTGATGCAGTTTGCAGCTTGTGCAGTTCCAGTTTACCCGATAAACATAACATCATCAAATCTCACCATAAATGGTAACTTTGCCTTTGGAGATGGGTTTGATTAGACTCAATTGTGTACGCTCAGAGTAGGTCCAACCTGGGGAAATGGAATTGAGGACCATAAAACAAATTGCAAAAGAATTTGTCTCGATAGGTTTTTAAGTAGTGTACAAATATAACAATACCAGTTGGTCGGAATGCCAAAACATCCGTGTATTGATTTCCATAAGACTTCAAATAACTATCAAGGATCTACAAGAAAAACATTATTGTCATCAGTTACATGGGAAAAAAGGATAAAAAGATTAGATTGAATCTTCATAAAGCTAGGCATAGGATCAAACTTCAAACCGCAGGGATGATATAGGCAGGACATGAAGATATGTATCCTTTGGATTCGAGCTGATCCTCTGGGATAGTTCAGGCCAGTTGAAAGACTGCAGAATACGTCTCCTTGATGCATTTGCATGTACTTTAGCCTAAAGCAGCAACCAAAATATAATGAGGACTTTTTCGTTTGTAAAAATTCGTCCTATGTTCTGATAATTTAATGGAGGCGGCAGAACTTAAAAACACACTAGTATGACACTTCTGTCACATACACCTCACAGCTTGGGATGCTTATTGCTCTATAAAATACGAATGTGTTAAAAAAAACAAAGAGGAAATAGTGCATTGCCATACCCCTAACGCCTTTGAAAGGGCAAGGTAGACACATTCTTTCCCAATGCTATAAGCCCCGACGACAATAAGGGTCTTGGGTTGCTTTTTAAGGAAGTCATTAGAAACTCTGACAACATAACTTAGTACGTCTTCTTTGGAAGGGAACCTGAAAAGGACCAATCAAAACAAACACTTGGAATAAACGAGTTGTTTGGACACGAGTAGCAACCAAAAAGATATCCGTCAGTTATACTCAGAAAGGAAATTGTCATACTTGTATCTTGGATTGCAATAAGTTGTGTCCAGGTAAAGCACATCGACTCGTTGCTTTGCGAGAAGAGGGTAAGTTTGCATCAGTTTTGAGGCTCTGAAGTCTCCCGTGTGCAAGTAGCGTTGACCATTTGACAGGTGAAAGTGAATCAAAGCTGCACCTGGACAATGATTAGCTTCTAGCAGTGTGACTCTAACTCCTCCTATTATATGCTCTTCGTTCAATTCCAGAGGCCGAATAAACCTGCTTACACAGGAAGCACATAAAACTGTTCTGAGTACACTCTTAACACTGTGCTGCACAAAGTGGCAGAAACAAATGCTTCTGGAACATAAGCACGAAAGGAGAGAAAAAGGAAACAGCAAAATCCAATGCTCACGATGGATTGACATAGAGACACATTCTAACAAGCCGAGCAGTGAGAGGGGTGCAATAGATAGGGCCGTGAGACCATCCCTTGCTAAGGCCACCATAATGATCAGCATGAAAATGTGTGAGAAAATATGCCAAACATCCTTCAACACAACCATAGCGGAATGCATCAACGGAGAACGGCGTCCCTGAGAAAACACCAAAACATCACATTTACTATACATGATATAGGAATTTCACACGAGCCATTTTCACTCAACAAATTCAACCCAAAAAATAATAAGTTTCTGCATTTGAGGAACGATCAACAGGGTGTGTAAGCACCCATTCACAAACCAAATTAACCCTTGCTCCACAAAATGTGCATCCATCAAGGGAAAAGAACAAATAATTAAGTACCAAGAAAGTCCCGACCTGGAATTTTTTTGTAGAAGGGGCAAACTCTAGGCTGAGCTCCACCATTACTCCCTCCATTCAACGTCCTTGACCTCTTCTCTGTCGAAGCCAGCTCCGGCTCCAATGGAGCAGCCACGCCTCCTCCACCTCCAACCCCTTTCCTCTTCAACCCCCACATCTGGAGAAGATTGCCCTGCCTCAGCTTCCCGGCTCCGACCTCTTTCCTCTTCAACCCCCACATCCGGAGAAGATTGCCCTGCTTCAGCTTCTCCTCCGACCCCAATTTGCTTCGCACACCATCATCACCGTCCTCATCCAAAATCACGCCGCTCCCATCGTCCTCCCCCTCCTCCGATCGCAGGCGAGACCAATCGGTCCCGCTGCCGTAGAAGCTGGACGCGAAACTCTCTCTTCCGTCGCCCTCCCCACCGTCGCTCCCGATCCCTCCGGCCTGTCCGCCGCCGGCCTCCGTTCCGATGGGCCGAAACGGAGGGAAGCCGTCTTCGTCTTCGCGGTCGAGGCGAGGCGATTCGGGAGCGCAGTCCCAACGATAGTCGTCGAAGATGGAATCGAGATCGTCGCCATCTTCGGATGCGCCCATTTCTCCTTCGTCGCTCCGAGTTCGCGGGAGGGTTTCGATTTGGATTGAATTTGTGTCAAGCGCGCGTCGTTCCGAGATACGGCCTGTTTGGACGTAGGACTTGGATTTGGCCTCTTAGGCTTAAATATATTTTCTTTAGGGAAAATTCAAAAAACGGGCTCAAAATGGAGTCATTTTCTTAAATAATGATTTAAAGTGGACATTGTCTCAAATAAAATCTTGAAGTGGCTAAATCATCTCAAATAATGACATTTGGGCGGCTGGTGATTATTCCGTCGTCGAAGAAGGGGTATTTTAGTAAAAAAAAAATTATAAGTATATTTTTTATATATTTATTTTACTTTCTTTTTCTTTTCTTTTTTTTTCCTTTTTTTCTTCTTCCCCCTCCTAGCCTTCATTACGCTTGCGCCGACCTCGGCCGGCCTCAAGCAAAGGCCACCCTCGCCCGCGTCGGGCGAGGGCGACTCTTACCTTGGCCTGGCCTCGCCAGCCCAAGCGAAGGCGAGGGTTGCCCTCTCCGGATTTAAGAGAGGGTCGCCTCGCTTGGGCTGGCCTTGCCCTCGCTTGATGCCGGCGAGGGCGACCCTCACTAGCCCAAGCGAGGGCGACCCTCGCCTGCCCAGGTAGGGTGGCCTCCGCCTGAGGCTGGCGGAGGGAAGAGAGGAAAAAAAAAAGAAAAGGAAAAGGAAAAGAAAGAAAAAGACGAAAATTCCCTTTGGCAGATAAGATCAGGTCCTTATTTTAGATTGATATGGCCACTTCAGGTTTTTATTTGAGACAAAATTCACTTCATACCCTTATTTGAGAAAATGATGGTACTTTAGGCCCTTACTTTAGATAAGGTCCATTTCATGCCTTTATTTGAGAAAATAACTCCACTTCGAGCTCCTTTTTGGAATTTTCCCTTTTCTTTAGATGTAATATAAATTTAGGAAAAATTTCAAATAAAAACTTGAAATGCCTTCGTTTTCTCAAATAAAAGCATGAAGTGAACATTTTCTCAAATAATGACATGTAGTGAATATTGTCTCAAATAAAGACTTGAAGTGACCATATCAGTCTCAAATAAAAGGCCTAACCTTGCTCGTTAAAGGGCATTTTCGTCATTTACTTTTTATTTTTTTCCTTTTTTCTTTCTTTTTTCCTTTTTCTGTTTTTTTTCTTTTCCCTCTTCCCTTTGCTGGCCATCGCCGGCGTCGGGCTGGGATCGCCCTCGCCTGCTCAGCCCAAGCGAGGGCGGCCCTTGCCTGAGGTGGGCGGATGTCATCGGCGATGGTGGGGGAAGGAAGAGGGAAAAGAAAAAGAAAATAAAAAAATCTTAATTTTTTTTTGTTAAAATACCACTTCTCCGATGGCCGGAATAATCACCGGCCACCCAAAAGTATTTATTTGAGATAATTTGGTCACTTTAGGCTATGATTTGAGACAATTTGACCATTTCATGCCATTATTTGACATAATGTCCACTTCGGGTCCTTATTTGAGAAAATGAGAGCACTTCATGTCTTTATTTGGAATTTTCCCTATAAATTTATGATGCATAAAAGTATGTATTGTTTCACTTATTATTTTGTCTTCAATTTTTGAATATGTAACAAAATTTTGAACCTGGATTTTAAATGTTTTGTGAAAAAGTCAAAGTTTGTGAATCGCAAAATATTTAAAGAAATTATAAATAAGAAATTGTAGTCACTTCACAGAGTTAAATGACAACAAAATAATCGAAATCCAACAAAAAAGAATGCGATCGCATTGGGGGTTGATGATTCGGAAAGATAAAATAGATAGTTCTCCTACGATTGATCCCTTATAAACGGGATTTTGAGCGCGTAATCAAGTAAGATAATACCAATTAGCTCTTCTTAATCCTAATTTGTTAGCAATTTACCCATTACCCATGTCAAGCTATTTAGCATGCCTCTCCGATAAATCGGTGCTCTCGCCTGCTAGAGTCTTTGGTCGTTCACGTGTAGAACAAGGTGTAAAAGATTGACCACGAAACAAATGAATTTGCAAGATTACCGTGAATTTAAAGATGGGAGCATGATCGCATCGACTCGACAAGTTTTGAATTTTCAAAAGTAGCCCTTCACGTCTTGTGAATTTCGAGATTGAGGGTGAACATATCGACACAGCAAAGTTTTTTGAATTTGACCCTTGGCACTATCTTCGGTCTCCTTCAATTCTTTCCGAGTGGAGATCGATTACGCAGGTTCTACTTTCATCATCTTCGCTGTCCCCATAAACGAAACACCCGTTGAGTTTTTCCGTCCGTGCAAACCGACGCTTTAGCAACGCGCGCGTTCTTGAGGCGCGATGATGTTGTTTTTTGAGTCTTCTAAATCGAGACTTGTCCATTTTAACGAGAAATATGAGCAACCCTAATCTAAAGGGTCAAGGAATCTTCTCCCCATTCGGAGAACCAGTATTCCAAAGCAATGATTCGGGCGAATTCATCCGTTTACATGGTCAGAAAAACTCGGTTGAAAGTTATGATCAGCCGCGTAAGGATTTGTACATCTTTCGGGCCGTTTAATAAATGAGAATATCCGTATCCCACGAATATAAATCAATACATTTTTTTTAATTGAGATGCACGTGCGAGTTGCGTTAAAAAAATCCAACATCGAAGAATTTGCATGATATGAAATATCGAGTGAATATTTATCCAACTGGATCTATTAACAAGTTCGAATTTAGACTCCCCTTTAGTAATCTTCTCGTTAGATGTATCAGGTGTATGCCGCCGTGCACCTACTAATCTCTCCCATTAAATATATCGGGCTTACGCCGTGCAACAACAACTGATATGGAACCACTCCCAATTTGCATCGGTGTCCGGATTTGGCCCGATAAATACCCATTTCCGAGCATCACCCAAAAGCGACAACAAGAACCCAACTCTCATAAGAATGGCTTCCTATGAAATTGGGACTCTTAATTCAAAGTTTGACTTGCCCCTTTCCATGACATTTCAACGGCCGCCGATCCCCTACTTTTCCCCCCCACCGAAACCTCAACATTCCCGCAAAACCACGCACACAATCGGGTAAATCGCGCCGCACCGCAAGAGCAAGACGAACGGTGGCGAGCTCGGTCTCGAAGCCCCCCCACGGCCAACAAGAGGGGGCCCCCCATCTTCCACGCATCCAGCGGCACCCGGCGGAGCGGGACCCGCGGGACTAGCCGTGGGCTCTCCCGCAGAGGATCGCGCGGTGGGTAAAGCATCGCGCTTCCCCGCAATGGACCCGACACCCTCAAATCCTCTCCCTTCGCTCTCTCTCTCTCTCCCGCTTCCAAGCGAATTTTCTGTGCTCTATCTTCCTGGGAAATGTGTTCTCTCTTTGACGAAGGAGGAAGAGTACAAGTTTAGAAACCAAAGATAAGGAAATTTTTTTTTTCTCTTGGAGGCGAGACCCAGAAAGCGAGAAAATCCCAGAAATATTCTCGGAGCCACCGGCAGCAGCAGCGGCGGCAAGCATCGGATCCACCACCACCGCGTCGTGCCTCGAAGCGTCAATCATTGCGATCCCCGCGTGACAAAAAGTTCGGGAGGGAATCGAATTCGGTGGTTCTGCCTTGCCCCCCCTTTCGGGAAAAAAGAGCTTTTTGGAGCTTTTTGGAGGCCCGGCGGGGAGGCCCTTTTTGTTCGTACACGCAATCGGTCCTCGTCCTGGGAGGTTGATCTCTTCTTCTTTTTCTTCGATCTGCTGGGAAAAAGAAAATCTGGGTATGGTTTGTCTTGATGCCGGGGGGGACTTGTTAGATCAGGAAGTGGTTCCCTTTTCTCGTCTTCTTGTTTCTTGCGGATGAAGTCTCGATCTTTCGTGTTTGCGGGGGTTGGATGCGGACGAGACTGCTTCTGGGTCCGATTGTGTGAACGCATTTCTCATCGTGGAGCTGGTTAGCTGGGAAAATTTTTGTCCTCGCGAGGACCATTTTTGCATTTCTTTTGTCCCGTGATTTTAGATGCTAGCTTCAGATTCTTTTCATTTGCCCTAAAGTATGTTATGGGTGAGAAGAGCTTAAGAGGGGATAAGATGTCATGGCGTGCTTTGGCTTCGTGTTTTTGTGGTTCGCGCTACGTGTATTGGAATCTGAATTTGGGTGTCTGCGAATGTTGCAGGTAAGACTTTTACTGAGTTTTTCCGACCTCGGTGTTGAGATTTCATCTTGAAGCTGCGTTGTAAGACCTCACTAATTTGCGAAAGCCATCTTTCTGAAGATGTGATGCTTTTGCAATGTTATGAGAGTGCGTAGCTGAAAGAGGACGGTGCCGTGTTTCTTGTGCTTTATGTGGGGTGTCATTGGCACCTCTTAATCCATGGGGGAGTGGGTAATTGGAGCTTTCATCAATCTCTTCGGTAGCATTGCCATCAACTTTGGGACGAACCTCCTTAAATTAGGTCATAATGAGGTATGTATATCCCTCTCTTCTTCTATCGAGACAATAGTTTACTGGGTTGATCTTTGCCTTCTATACCAATAGCTGCCAAAGTGATGTTCTTGGAGAACTCTTCTAGAAGTACCGTTCCCATATTACTCTTCTACTATTATGTGTTGTTCCTGGGTCGTGCTCCACCTACAAATTTAGCAATGTGGTAGAGAACATGGCATTGAGCTTGACAGCTTACAGCATCTGTTCCGCTTAAACTTCAACCCATCGATCTGAGGATTTTAGATTGTTTGGATTGGAAACATATGGTTGGTGTGTCTGATCAATGACATGCAGCTGGTTACTTGGAATGTAGGAAGATGTGACTATCCTATAGCTGTTTCTAACCTGACATTGCTTATCGTTTATCTCTAATCTTCTCAAGCATGACCTGAGATGAAATGAATCAACGTATTACTATCACAAGAATCAACTTATTGCTCCAGCAAAATTAGGTTTGATGAGCTTTGTATAAAATCTTGCAGAGAGAAAGGCAGTCCTTGCAAGATATGGATGGTGCAAATGGCAAGCTTCCTTTAAAACCTATTATACACTTCCACACGTGGAGAGTTGGTAAATTCTTGTCTCATGGTACTGTATATGCTGTACGAATTACATATTCTGTGAAACCAATGGACTTTGTCCTCATTTGGCTTTTTGCTTCAATACATGCAGGCATACTATTTTTCTTCCTGGGGAATTGCCTGAATTTTATTTCCTTTGGATATGCTGCCCAGGTGATTTATTTTATCCACCAAAAGTGCACCTATGGTTTTGATTGTCATGGAGAATTGGTTGAGAGGATGGATAGCATAGCTTTGTTTCTCGATCCCTTTACTTTGAATTTCTTTTCATCCAATTTCTCCCTTTCATGCAGTCACTTCTTGCAGCTTTGGGTTCAGTTCAGTTCGTCTCCAACATCGCTTTCGCATACTTTGTGTTGAACAAAATGGTGACAGTCAAGTATGTTGATTTGAACCTTTTGAAGAGTAAAGTTTACTTTCAGGACACCCTAGATATTCGCATGTGCTTTTTTCTTTCTATGTATCATATTATGAAATGCTGTATAATCTCTTGTTACAGGGTTTTGGTTGCGACAGCATTCATAGTCCTTGGAAATATTTTTCTTGTTGCGTTTGGTAACCATCAATCACCTGGTTAGTGTGAGCCGCCATCTTTTCACCATCATTTGTTGCTTTCTGTGTCAGGCCTCATAGACTTTCGAGCTAATGGTGCCAATATTTGGATATTAAATTCTCAAAAGTTGTAATGTTGTCTTATGTCTTAAGTTTGAGAGTTCCCATATTCATAAAGCACTAGTGTTGTCATTCACAGGGCTTTACTGTTTTCAGGCGAACCTATTTAGATATTCTCATATAATTAATTTGGCTAGGCACCTGAGATGTGCTAATGTTGCTATGGTTCGGAGGATGCTTCATAATCCATGGATTGTAAAATGTTCATCTTTTCTGAGGCATACATTTACTTCTTCATTGCAACTGCAATGTCAATCGTTCAGCGTCAATCTTGAAAACCAGATGTTCCTTCCATTGACCATCACAGTGATTGGACTCCATTATTACTTATAGAAAGATTATCATCCTTTCTACGGCACTGCTCCATCTCACTTTGCTCTCTACTCTGCATTTAGCTCTGGAAGGTTTGCTATAGTCTGTCAATGTGTAGAGTCCATAGCCCGTTTGACTGTGAAGATGATTCTATATGCGGTCATTGGCAGCAAGCTTTGAGTTTCGTAATGTTCTATAGAGATGCTTACCTTGGCGGATTTGATCATTTTACGTTGACCATTTATATTCTCTACCTGCTTTACTGGTTCCTTGGGGTGGAAAGGTTAAGTCCTGTTCGTTGGCTTTCCTTTCAGTATATACACCAGAGCAATTGGCTGAAAAATACAGCAACATCACATTCCTTTTTTACTGTGTGATTTTGGTGCTGATTGTTGCCTTGCATCATGCAGTCTACAGGTGAGCCTTGCAAACGAACTTTGTCCCGACTCTTCATTAAGTGTGTTTTTTTACTCACTATATCATTGGGCCTGCAATTTCTTTACCTTGTGAATCTTGGATTGCAGGAGAGGAGAGCTTCTTATTGCAGTTGCAGGACAGGAGCTGAGACCATACTGGCATATGCTGCTTCCTTTTTCATATGCTATAGTTTCAGGTGCTGTAGGCTCATGCTCAGTGTTATTTGCAAAATCTCTGTAAGTGAGCTACCTTAGACATCGTAAATCTCGTGGTGCGAGTGACCAGTAAAACCTGCAACTATGTGTGGTATTTACATGATTATTTCTCTTGTTTTCAGGTCTAACTTGCTTAGACTGGCGATGTCTAGCAGCTATCAGTTGCACAGCTGGTTCACATACTCAATGCTTCTTCTGTTTCTCAGTACTGCTGGATTCTGGGTAAGAAGGCTGTCATAGTTTCTTTGCCTGGATCTTATAGTATACCCAACTGTTGCAGAAAGCTTAACTTTCTATCTTGCTCTGCAGATGACAAGGTTGAATGAAGGATTGTCATTGTTTGATGCAATTCTTATCGTTCCCATGTTTCAAATTGCTTGGACATTCTTTTCCATTTGTACAGGATTTGTTTACTTTCAGGAATATCAGGTTCGACAATTAGACAATCGTATTGTTTTGTTCAGCCAGAAGACAATCATTTTGTGCGATTCACCCATTTTTAAAACAGGTATTTGATGCACTGAGGACAACAATGTTCATACTGGGAATGACGGCCGTTTTTGTAGGGATTTCTTTGCTGGCACCCGATGAGTCAAGAGGTACCGAGTTTCAAGAGCAATGAAAATTCAGTGCTTTAAATAGACGTAGGTTTACTTACACTTTTGTGTTTCATTTCTTCTTCAGGCGGTGAAGTAAAAGATAATCCGTCCTTAGCATCTGTGACATCTTCAGGCGTCTCAAGTGAAGCGGACAGGTAATTTTGAAATTGGCAAGGGTGTGGAGTAGTCAAGTATGTAGAATGCCATTGAGATATTTACCTGGTCTTTGTGGTCCCTCACAAAATGAGGATATCTGCCGGTTGGCATTCATATGATCTTGCATGAAATTTGACAATTGAAATGTGGATATCAAACGTTGAGCTGTTTGTGACAGATTGATCGTGTCATCTGGAGATGGACACAGTAAAGAGATGAGATCGTTCATGCAAGAAATGACCTTCAGGATTATGGACATATTAGTGAGGGCGAAGGTGCTAATTATGGAAGTTGACAAATATTTATTGTTGCGAATGCTCGACACATGAGATAATTAACACGACAGATTTCTGTGATTCTGCAGAATGCTTGCTCGGTTTCGCTAGGATTCACAGACGATTCGATCAACGCATCCGCCGTGCTCGTAATGCCCATGGTGTCTTCAAAGATCACGGGCTTTAGAAGCACTGGTTTCGACCGGTCAAAGGTGCTTTCCATGAAGAATTTCGGGTGGAGCAGGATCTCGCTCGACGAGGAGGGTGCGAAAATGATGGACACGGCCGTGGTGCTCCCATAGATTCTTTTTTCGACTGTTGTAGCATATCATTGATTCAAACATCCACGAAGTAGGGATTGTTTAGATTACACGTTTAGGGCGTATCCCTCTCGTTATGTATTAGCCTCTTCTTATGGCTTTTCGGGGCGAGGATGGGGGGGTTTAACGGAGGAGAGGAGACGGGCATTGGCTGTATATCTTTGACTCACTTGATAGAAAGGCGACTGGGCGTGGCTATCTTGAAAACTTGCTGTAACTAAAGGAAGCGTATCACGGTCAAGTTCATTACTCAATCTTCACTGACTCGTCTTGTTTCATTTGCGTATATGTTCTATGCATTTGGGTGGTATGTGGGGCTGCAGCTACTGGCCACGCCCTGTATACCTCCGTCGATCCATTAAAATGCGAAGAGAGTTCTGTTGTAAATTACACTTGGATCGGACCGGTTTCGATGGATGACCATGCCAAGTCGGAGCCGTCTAACTACTTAGCACAGTTTAAGTGCGTAGTCTGGTAGCCGGTCTGTCACGTCGATGCATCTGAGGTCCACACATTCCGAAGATGACATCGTCGCGGTGGTCCGTGTCCGTCTTTCTTCAGGGGCAAGTTAACTCGATTTGGCAGGATGAGTATATGGCAGTACTGTTCGGAAATGATAGACAGATAAAGAAGTTGCTCGTCTTGGTATAGCAGCAGTACTTATGGGCAACTACTTCACACCTACGCGCAATTGAAAAAGAGAGAGAGAAAGCTTCCCAGCTTCATCAAGACCCATTTCGCTACTCGTCTCTTTCATGGAGTCCAACGCCCTGATCGTCAAGCTCCTCCACGGCAAGGACGTGCGAGCGTTCAACTTCTTCCAGAAACTCAACGTCTACGCCCGGGCCTCCGTCGTCAGCGACGACCCGAGCAAGAAGCTGGGCCGGGACCAGCAGCACCGCACTCCGACGGTGAAGGAGTGCGACGGCGACCCGGAGTGGAAGCACGAGATGCGGTTCGACCTGTCGGAGATCTCCCTCCGGGACTGCGGCCACGCCTTCCTGCGCGTGGATCTGTTCCACGAGGGCGTGATGTTCGGCGACAAGCACATCGGCGAGGTCCGGATGCCGCTCACGGACTTGGCCGAGCTAGGGGACGGGGTGGTCAGGTTCGTGAGCTACCAGGTGAAGAACCCGGAAGGGAAGCCCAACGGGGTGCTGACCTTCTCTTACAGTGTGTACGGAAAGGGCGAGACCGGCGACGCCGCGGCGGCCGGGACCGCGCCGGGCCCGATCGTCGCCGGATACGCGGTCGTTAATCCTCCTCCGCCGCACGGGGGATGGGGCGAAGTAGGAGCCTCCGGTTCGGAAAACCAACCTTGGTCGCCGGAAATTCAGTACCCAGTGATTGATTTTCAGAGCAGCGAATCAGACGAAACCTATCCTTCTATAGTACCTCAACAAAGCTACTATCCGCCGCCGGAGAGCTACTATCCTCAGCCGCCACCGATGCTACCTCCGCTGCCGCGCCCGCCGCCGCCGCCGCCCTTCGCGCACGGGGCGTGTTACTACCCGCCGCCCCCGCCTCCGTTCGGCCCGTGGCAACACGGTCCCTTCGCAGGAGGCCACAGCTCCGGCGGGGGGTGGCGCGGAGGCGGCCCGTGGGAGAGGGAACGGGGATTGTCCTACTGGAATGGCAGGTGAGGATGGAGACGAGACGAGACGGTGGTTTGAATTGTTGTTGGAGCGTCCGGGTAATGTCGATGTGTGTGTGTGTGTGTGTGTTACTGTGCATATATGTATGTCTGCACTGAAATGGATGATAGCGACCGACGACCGGCTGTTAAGATCGATCGAGATTCGAGATTTTCCGTTCCCGGAAAGTTTTTTGGCTGGGGAAAACAATTTGACGGAATCTGGCCTGCTCTGGAGGTGTAGCATTTTGCGTTCTGCAGTGTGGCTTCGGTTTTGTGTCATCAGACATTATCAATGAAAAAGTTCCCAACTTTCATCGGTATCGTGTTTGTGTCCGCGTTTGAACCGATCTTACGTCGGACTTTCCGAACAGCTGATGCAAATTGCTAAAACGGCGAGAACTTATTACGACGATGCACTAAGTGTTGCAGCAGCAGCTCATTGAAATGGTACTGACCAACTTGGAGTTACACCACTTTGTGTATATGTACCAAGTGTTGCGTGATCATTACTGAAGAAAGATGAGGCTTTTAAGCTATAGGAGATAGGTAGCGATTGGCCTAATCATCCTCTGCCTTAACCGCGAAGCGCACAGTTCATTGGGTCTTGACTGGGGGAATAACTACGTATTGGTTTCGGGTCAGCTTCGAGCCATCCATCCGTGTCGGGTTCGGGTTTTTCTCAGGTCGCGACGTTCTCGCGCGGTGCTGAGTATTACCCGCCTCGAAATATCCCGTTAATCTTTGCGATCGTATTGGGCCTCGGCATGGCCGTTTCACTAGGCGACGAGGACGAAGGAGTGGAGGAGGAGGAGGAGAAGAAGAGGCCCATCTTTTGCACTATGGACATGTATAAAGTGGAATGAGGGCGACGTGAGCTCGAGGTTGTGTGTCCATGGCGAATTGTCTGATCTCTTGGCTCCCAATGGTCAAAGCCAATGCCCATCATCTCCCACCAGTTTCACTCTTCAGTAATTAATAAACAATTGGTCAATGGAGAAATATCTTTATGCTTTAGGGAAAATGTTGCTCCATGCAGGAGCTAGATATCTAGCTCTGTAAAGGCATTGTTTGCGAGGGGCAAATTGAAGATGGATGGAGAAAATTTAGCAGAACTTTTAGATTGTTCCTCCCACTCTTTCTTACAAAAAAATCGAATTCAATCCAATTTTGAGATAATTGTTCAAAAAGTCCTAAACCTATAGTACGATGGACATTTCAGTCCAAAATCTTTCAATCGTACCAATTTAGTCTTAAGCCTAGACTGCCAATTTTATCTTAAACCTTTTAACCGTGCCAATGTTTTACTAAAAAAATCCGTGTCAATTTAGTCCTAAACATTTTGACAATTTAGTCCTAAACCTTTTAACGATTTTCCAATATAGTTCTCCCGATAATTTTGGCCAGATATCGTTGAAGGACTGCATTGGCAACTCATTAAAAAATGTTTAGGACTAAATTGACAAATGGTAAAAAGGTTGATGACTAAATTGGTACAATTGAAAAGTTTAATACTGAATTGGCAATTGTACAATAGGTTTGAGACTAAATTGGCACAATTGAAAGGTTTAAGACTGAATTAGACACTGTAAAATAGGTTTAGGTTCTTTTGGACGATTTTCCTTCTAATCTTTCTTCAACCCCTTTTGCTTTACTATTGAATTTCGATCAAATTCGATCGTTGTTAACTCATTATGCATGCGTGGATTAGGACTACTTACAAGTAGCCGGTGGATTTACCAGATCGTCAAGTAGCTTTGAGCACATCTAGCTTTCGACATTTTTATAATGTTGTGTCTAGGCAAAGTTATTGTCCGTGAGATCCTGAGCATGCTCTATTGCTGCCTTAAATCTTGCTTCTTTGGTGCTCAAATGTTAGCATTTACTCCACGAAACCAATGAAACCTGTTTTTTTTTTTTTTTCCTTGTTTCGGCCCAAACAGTCGGCATTGTTTAGCAGCATTCTTCACTTTGAATACCACCAAGAAGGCTTAGCTAAGCCGAACGTGAAAAACCCAACCTGGCGATTCCAATGTCCAGACAGGCTCTTACGTAGTTGAATAAACAAAGGTTTCTCGAGCACGTTGCGTTGTGTGTTGTTCCATCAGAAGCAGATTCACATACACCCACCCACCGCATATTCTCATAGAAAGTTAGAAGGAAAAGGGATGTTTCTTTTTTTTTTCCCGATTGCCGATCCTAACATGCATGAAAAGGTGAGGAGGAGGGTTAGGTGAAGATCATGGACATTGGTGGGACTCAAAGCAACCAAAAAGAAAAAGAAGCAGAGAAGCAACAGCTGCAAGCATATGTTGTTATCATGAAAGGCCAACTAGCATCCATACATATTCTAATAAGTCGAAACCTTTCCTGATCACGCGATCTGCGTTCTCGCCTCCTCCTAGCATCGGATGCATGTGATGGCGTATGGACATTAGTGGCCGTATAGCGACGAGATAAAAGACCATTAAAGGGCTCAAGAAGTTTACACGCACGGCGCAACCGATTCGCGTTGTACATAGAAAGGCAGTGTATATATAAATATCATCACTATTTCAGTAATTGGGATTTAACAGTTTCATCTTCCTGAAGTGATGGCCATCTTCATCTGCATAATCTCAACCCGAACCAAACCCGATGAGGCGAATGTACAGCGGCACGCTCACTAATACTCTCTCCTTTCGGGCTTAACTGCTAATTCGATTCTTCATGATATGGCACAAGGTTCGCCTAATACTGCAGAAGTTGCATCCGAGTTTGCATTCTCAGTTGCTCATGGAACCTCCTGATGAACTCCTCGGCCTCGTCATCAACCCTTCCGCTATAATTCCCACCTTCATCTTCATCTTCTGATGAATAGTTCGAGACCCTCACGGCGAATGGAGATAGCAGCAGAGGGCTCAGCGTCTCGTCTTCCTTGTTTACGCGTTCACCAGGGGCTCCGAAATGGAAGCCGAAGTCGTACTCCGGGGTCCTGGGCATCAAGGCAACAGCTTTAGCCTCTCCTTCGTGATCATCTTCTTGATCTTCCTCTTCTTCTATGACCTGAGGAGGGTTGATGCATGGGAAGAAATGGTGCTTGTTCCGAGTCGGCACGCGGAAAAAAACAGGGTTCGGGCTGTTGCTGCACGAGAACTCGTATTCTCGTGTGGCAAAGCCACCGCGCGCCATGGCCTTGGAGTGGTGGTGATGGTGGTGGTGGTGGTGGTGAAAGAGGAGGTTGGTAAGCGTTTTCCTCATGAGCTTCCCTCTCTTCATCATCACGTTCATGTCCATGATCAACTTCCTCTTGGACATGATCCCCTTTCTTATCATGAAGAAAGAGACTCTAAGCACATTCCATAGCCTCTTGGCCATGGCAGAATTCACTCTAGAATCATGCAACTCCATATTTTTTTTTCACAAAGCTAAATTCACAAACCAACTTCCCAAATGCTAAAAGAAAATTTCGATAAAGGCAGTAAGATAAATTCTTTTCTGCGGGTGTTTACGAGAAAGAAAAAAAGATTGAGAACGATAGGTTTTCTTGTTTCTGCGAGGCGAGTTAGACCTCGCAGAAGTCGAAGAAAATCCTTGATGACTATAAGAATTGAGCCGAATTGGGTGCCAATTTATAGGGGGGCAAGGAGTGCCCTCAGAGCATTAATTATTATGAAAAGTGAAGACAAAGGGAAATTAGAAAAAGTTAAATGAAAGAGAGCTAAAGCCCCATGATTAGGAAAGGGAAATAGGAAAGATGTACCCATCAATGTCCTTTGAAAAAGCATCACAACCCTTGTATATTCAAATGAACCCATCAACCGCGCTCCTCCCCCTTTAACATTAGGAATATTTTCATCTTAATAGAGGAAAAAATTCATAAATTTTTTTTTTGGGAAAAATAAGAGTATGAAAGGGTTGAGGAGACCGGACCACCTTATGAATAAATTATTTTGAGTTCAAGACAGCTAACACTGTGTTTGTCCGAATGAAGAGTGGTCATAATGGAGCTGTGGAGAAGTGGGACTACTTCTGGTCGGAGACGTTTGAATTCGTTGTCTTGCCCCTTTTTCTTCAACGGCTATTTAATCGCCTGCGCCAAGAAAACTAAAAGATCACCGCTAGTGCTTGTGTGGACCTTATTTTTTGCAATGATAAGAGAAAAAGCAATTCAAACATTGTGGGTGCATTTGGAAAATACATGGGGGTGACCGTATGTTTACGTGTGTATTTCGACTGTAAGATGGCGTCGCTGGGATAATTGTCCAAATTATTATAAATCTATTGTGCGGTGGAAATTGTTGACGCCATGGCGACCCGGTCAACACCGGTTTTCTTCCGTGACACGACCGATGCTAATGTGGACAATTTTTGCAATTCTTTTTAGAATTTCTAGATTTTTTCTTCCTTTTCCTTCTTTTCTTTATTCTTGTTTCTCCGCCAGTCGCCAATTGTTGGCCACAGGCAAGGGCGTCACGGTCCTCGCACGGATTCGGTGAGGGGTATGGTCGTCTCGATTGGGCAAGGGCCACGACACCCTTATCGGATGTTCCTGACATAGATCTGGGTGAGGGCAAGCGAGTGAGGGCGTCGCGGCCCTTGCAGGCCCGTGGCTAGCAACCGTTGGAGAACAACAAAAAAGAAAATAGAAAGAAAAGAAATAGACAAAAGGAAAAAAGAAGAAGAGAAATTAAGAAAATTTAAAAAAGAATTGCAAAAATCATCTACGCCAACGCCATCTTTGTCACATGGACAGTAGCGATTTTCGATCAAAATTGACTGAATGGATTAAATTGAAAAATCGGTAAAAGACTAAATTGGCAAAATTAGAAAGTTTATGATTGAATTGACCATCATACAATATGTTTAAATTTTTTTGAACAATTTCCTCTAGCATTGCCCAAAAGTTTAAAGGGAGAACACGCGTATACAAATAGTATATAAACCCCATAGTTAAGTGACGTGGAATACTTTAACACTTCAATCTCACGTGTAAGTCGGATTACGAACGACACGTGAAATTTGATGAACAGATATTAAAATCGACACATGGAATTTAATGAATGGGGTTGCCCACACAAAATAAACTAAAGTAGAACCTAGCTTTGATACCATATTAAAATGTCTAACCCAAAAGTTTTAAATTATAGTTGAAGGGATACTAAAGAACGTATAATCCCCTTACACAAATAACGTGGGATACTTTGATAGATCAAACCGAATTGTTCTATTAAAGTGTGAATTAGTTACAAATTACAATAAACCAATTACATTGTATCATTTGCATTTTACTTAAAACTAAGTTTATATTACTAGTGGAATTCAATCATTCATCAGCACATTTTGATAAATAAAGTTTTAGTTGTTGCTGGCCTAGATTTTTAGGCACGTTGCTAAGCTACTCGCACCTCTCAATTATTTGGTTTGAAAAAGTCCAACTTGATAGATAATTTGGTCAACATTAGCACAAGGCTGAAATGTTGCAAGACCCCTGTTGCAAGAAAATGCCAGCTGTGTACCAAAGAAAATGGGCCCCACGGTCCAGAATTTATTCATATTTTTCCTCACCTATTTGCCTCTTCTCACTAAGATCTGCATTGAGCTCATGCAAAAAAGAAATAAATCCAAATTGAACTATTTAATGGTTGGATCCATGTCTTTGCTTAAAGGCTGGAACGAATGGGGGAGAAGTAGGTGGTCATTAGTCTTGAGAGGGACTCAATGACTTGCTGTCTCCAACAAATTGCATTTTCTTGAGGGGAAAGTTTTTATTTTTATTTATTTTTGTTGAAAACATTAACAAAAACTACTATTTAGAAGTGAAATCATGGAAGAATATGCATTACAAATCACCACCGCAGATTATCTAAATATAATTTGGTATATGCGTAATTTGTTCATTTTATAATTGTGAATATAAATGTATTGTTTTGTGTTGTAATTTTTTGAAGTCAATAACAACTACCCTTTACTTAGGGACTTATTGCAAACTTGCTTCACATAGCATTGCTTTATACAGGAATGACGCGATGGCAAGATCCCAAGTTATCCCCTATTTGATTGCAATATCTTAGAGAGCTTTGGTTTAGTAGGTTCGGAAGATAGTTCTTTGGGGATCGCTTGATTATATACCGTATAGCCTTTATAGTGGATTTGGTGTCGGCCTGTGTCCGATTGACAGGTACCAACCATCATTGTTGGCCCATGTCCTCTAATCGCGACAACTTATTCGCTCTCTAATCGCGACAACTTATTCGCTGTCGATTTCCTACACAGGGATTGCCACAAGACATGATTCTGTTCACTAACCATCTTAAATCCTCTCACTATAAGTGCCCACCCAATTCATTCATTTGGGGAACTTTTAGCCACTGGCTCTTTGGTACTTATGAATTTCCATATTTTTAAACTTTAGGATTTTGACGGTCAAACCATTTGAGAAATCTTCGCAACCAATTATTATCTACTTCTGATGATTTCCAACGACTCCAAAGTATTTGACAGTCATCAACTGCCACCTGGTACTCGAGTCTACTAGAACTGCCCGCTCCTCCTTTCACGCCCTCTCTACTTCGTCGTGATTTCGGTGTTATATCTCAATTCGCTAACTTTTTCATAAGGCTAAGGGATTTCAGGAACAAACCTCCTCAACTACTTTATTTATTGCCAATAGAGAGTAAGGTAGGAAATAGTGTGGTAGATGGGGAGTAGTCGGTGCGCACGAAAAACACTCGAGACATTGGAGCACCACATGGGGATTGGGGACGTATATACTTGATGTACGACGCTAAAACCAACACAACAAAAGTGTATTCTCTTGTCCGAAAGCTATGCACAAGCTCTAGCCCAATCATTGTTGAGTCACATGTATTTGTTGGATTTAAAGAAGCATCGATGCACCATCCTCCTATGTACTTCTCAAAGCTCTAAAGCTAGGAGCACGCCTTCACTGTTGTCCCTAGCCCACAAAGAAACACTTTCGCAACGCATGGACGATCGAATCTCCAATCAGATGCTGGATATTCGCGTGAATATATGTCCAATTATTGCAATAGAAGTCGCTCTTAGCATCGCTATTGGCAAACCTCTCTGTAAACGTCTGTATGACGCCGTTTGGGTAAAACTATCGATGTCGATGCTCATGAGTACCCAGGATTGCTACCGAAACCTTAAAAGGAAAATTATTGTTGAGTTATGTTCAATCGAAATGTGCGCCTTCTCATGAAAGCAAGCTTGCCCATAGCAATGTTTCCGAAGTCAGAGAGAACGGCACATTTTTTTTCTTACTTTCTAATCTTGTGACACGCAAACGATAACTTACGAGACAAGTAAGCAAGTTCTTCTAGCTATAGTACCATGTGATGGCGCGCGGAAAATTCATGAAGAGCATGTCTGTTTTCTTCTTTTCCAAATTGCAATAATGGCGGGCATATACATCTAAGAGGAAAGATTCCTGCATCGAGCTTTGAGACGGCAAAGCCTTTTTAAGGCCTCCTCAAAGCGAGTTTACAACTTAGAAGCTGTGAACAGTCTGGATCACACTCCTTTTGAAACTTGCCCTTAATACCTAATTAGATTCTAATCAATCAATCGATTAATATTTCCATGCGAAGGATCCGGGAAGCTTGACTTCTCCACTCAATAATGGAGCATGAAGTACGGCTCAAGTCCCCCCTTCTCGTGCTTTTCTGAAGGGTGGAACGATATTTTCGACTGTCTTTTTTTAACCTTCTCTTTTGAACTTTTCGAATCGCAGTCGACGTTGGCTTTTGCAGATTCGACCCGATTGTAACGTAGAAATGGCCTGAAAAAGGGCGGGTTGACGTACAAAACCCATGTTCAAAAACCATGTTTTTCGTTCGCTTCCTTCTCTTGTAATCAAAGCTGCGATGTGATTAGAGGAGGACAGAAGGAAATCGTGCACGTTTTCTTCTTGGTTTAGTTTGCTTTTCTTCTCTCCCTCTGTATCTTTTCTCTTATTCCTCTTTGCCGTTGAATCATTGAGAAGTGCCCTTTTGTGAATGCATTGGCGTTTTTACCGTATACCCTTTTGCTCTCGCTTTATTCTCGTTGATTGGTTCTTGTCTTTTTAAATCAGATTGTAAAAATAAAAGAAGAAGAAGAAGAAGAAAATATCCATCATGCCATGCAAGCTTTGAATGGGAAGATCGAACGAGCGATATTTTCACGGGTACATTTTTCGTTTACTGAATTGCCGTCTACGAATCGCTTTGTTATCGTGTAACTTAACATCGTGCTGGTTTCACACTAATTATTGCTCTCGCCAATCTATGATCAATGCCGCACCTTAACCTCTCCATGATTTTCCAATCACCTTTATGATTGTTCGGCCATGTATGTTCGGGACGGATGTGGGATCTGGTAAAGCAGATCTTTAGTTCGATCGTTACCGACTCCAAATTATTTCGCGCAAAGAGTTATGTACATGGATCTTGTGAGCCTTGCCATGTCGATAAATGGACTGTTGAGTATATCCTTGAGATATTCCTAAGTTTTTAGCTGACTTTTCCTTGGGGTTAATACCACGGAAAACCCTAAACCGGTATACTTGTGACAATTTTACCCTCCGTTAGTTTCTGTTAAATTTTAC